CACTGCATGGTTTCGTAGTCAAGCGTAAACGCCCAGGAGTTGGTGCCTGGGTGACTTGCTGATGAGAGCGCCTTCCAGGCGGGTAGTCGTGCCCCTCACCTACGGTCATACGGCGGCGTCAGAGGGGGGGAAGGGGCGCGAAGCGTGAACATGGAGGCAAGCAGGTGGTGGCTGCACCTGGCCAAAGCCGGCGACCTCGAAGTTGTCGTAGCTTGTGCGGATATCGCTGAGCGTGAGAGGGACCGGATCGGCAGCAGCATGGGCGGCCGCGTCAGCGGCCGGAGAGGCCGGAGAGCCATCCGACGGAGGCCGGTCGTGCATCGGCGCGTCAGCCGCAGGGGCCGGGGGGGCGGCGGCATCCATCGCTGCGGGTCGCTGCGGGCCGACGATTGTGGACTGATCGATCGTGGCGGGCGGATTTCGGCTGGGACGTTCTACGGTTAAACCAAGAGCGTCGGCGCCGACAAGAGAGACTTATAAGGGTAGAAGCAAGTGCATATGTGTTTGATGGACAAAGCAAGCGAAACGCATTGCGCCGTCAAGCGGCGGCCTCGAGAGAGAAAAAAGAAAAAATCTCACCATCAGCGCCGCCCACCGCTCTGCGATGATACTCTCTCTGGCGGCTTCGCTGCCAAGCGTGGTGCTCGTGCTGCCTCCGACTCAGCTGCCTCCTACACACGCCGGGCTGCGCCCTGTGCATTCGCCGCGCGCGCTGGTCGTGGCTGAGGCCACGACGACAGACGCGTCACGGTACGGGATCGACCCTCGGCTGGCGAACCCGGAGGCGGTCGCTGAGGCGCCCGAGTGGAGCGCAGGACGGGTGGGAGACCTCAAAACGACGGGCGAGCTGCGCGCCGCGGTCGAGGCGGCCGCCGCGGATGGCGGCTTCGTGTGCCTCAAGTTCTGGCGGGAAGGCTGCGCGGCGTGTGCATCCACCGCAGAGCGATTCGAGCAGTCCGCGGAAGCCAACCCGCACGGCCGCTTCTTCCTGGTCAACTATGGGCGGGCTAAGGAGATGTGCCGCGCCACCGGGATACGGGTCGTGCCGGCGGCACACCTCTACGCGCGCGGCAGCTTGGTCGCGGCGTTGCCGCTCGGGCCATCAAAGTGGGAAGCCTTTGCGGAGCGGTGAGCGCGCCGCCCGTGTGCCCGGCCGAATCGGTCGCTCCCGATTGACACCCCGCCTTCCCGTCCCGACGTGGCAGGCTGGCCGCCGTGGCGGCGGAGACGTCCTGAGCACGGACCGGGCGCTTGGGCAGAGACACAGAGCTGCTCTGCTGCTCTCTTGGGTCTCCGTTCCCGGCGGCTCTCGACCGTGATCTCTGTCTCACGAACCGGCCGCCACACAACCGCTGCTGCTCTGGTGATATACACACAACACAGATGTACCGTCCGCATGCTTTCGTCACCCACACCCTCTCCCGGGGATTACAACGCGTTCAATCAAGGTCCGACATGGGCAGGGGGGACGACGCGCCGCCTCGGGCGCCGCGCAAATTCTTTTCGCGGGGACTGCTGTCGGATCCACACGGCCAAGCCAGACAACCTGAGCCACCGGGAGGCTCTCCACTCACTGCTGTCGTCGGGTGACTCGTCGCTGTCTCATTTGGCGCCGGTGCTGCTCGGCGAGTCGCTCGCCAGCCTGGCTGCGCGGATCCAAGACTCGCGCCCTGCGGCTCTCACGCACCTCAAGCTTCTCGGGGTTCAGTCGCTGCGCGACCGTCAATCGCTGATTAATCGGGTCTCCCGCGCCGCGCGCGAGGGGCTCCTCCGCTGCTCCGTGCGCGCGCCCGTAGCATCCGACTCGTTGTCGGCTGTGGAGGCGGCGCTCGCTGCGCTCTCGGCGCTCACAGATCCCAAGCTTGAGGCTGCCGACGGCGACTCATCCGATGCATCGACTCATTCTCGCACGACGGCCGTGCGTATGGCGCTGCTCAAGGGTCTCGGCCTGAGCGACGCGAGCGCGCGGAAGCTGCTCGATCGGCAGCCTC